CACTTTCTGCATACAGAGACACTCTATACAAGACTTCCTCTTGTGGGGATCAATTTCACACTTTCTGCATACAGAGACACTCTATACAAGACTTCCTCTTGTGGGAATCAATTTCACACTTTCTGCATACAGAGACACTCTATACAAGACTTCCTCTTGTGGGAATCAATTTCACATTTTCTGCATGCAAAGACAAAGACCCTAACCACAGACACCAAAATTTTTATGTCTTAAAAAAAGCAGTTCCTATCGGCGGCGTCGGTTCGGTTCTGTCATTTTGGTTGTAGGTGGCTAACCGGATTTTCCTCCATGGGAAGGGCCATGCCCGACAAAACTGATGATGACCTTGATAACAAACGCATTTGTTTTCAAGGCCGTGAGTCAGACTGTCAGTTTGGGCAGTTGGTCTATTTATAGTGTTCACTGAATCCTCCAGAAACGGAACTGAACCTCCAAATGGCACTGCCTATTATATATGAACAAAGCTTTTTAGCAAAGTCGGGTAGGCAACTTTAGTTCTATATTTAGTCAAGTTGGTCATGAAATATGTAAAGATCGGATCGGATTTAATTATCCAGTCTGTTTCAGAACAGAACATGCTTACTGAACCATTAATCAGTTTGTTTTGTGCTTTTAAGTTTATGATGAGATAAACATTGTTTGTTCTGTTTCGCCTGTGTGGATTATAATGTAAATTGTCATTGAAGTTAACAGCAGATATAGCTTACAAATAAGATTTTTGTTTTGATTCAATTCTGGTCGGGAAATCCTATGAGAAGGTCTGTCAAGTAATTCGTGCATTTGTTCCGCCCTATTTACCAATCAATGCTATAATTGTGCGGCAATCTTAAGATTGCGCCCCGCGTTTTAACGATCGTATAATTGCGCTGCAGTCTGAACATTGTGCTAATATTTTATATTTAAATTTATTTTTTTCAATTCACTTCCATCTTTATTCTTTTACTTACATCATGGAATGTTCACATTAATATTTTCAAAAGTGTGAGAATATAAAAATTAAAATTAGCATATGAAACTGAAGAGCTCCTAAGAATGATACAATGCCAGGTATCAAAAGTGTAAAAATATGAAAATTAAAATTAGAATTAAAAGTAACATATGAAAGTGAAGAACTTACAAGAATGATACAATTATGCAATCGTTAAAACACACAGTGCAATCTCAATTTTTAAATAGGGCGGAACACATTAACTCTGTGAGCCTGGCTCCATCAGGCCGTACAAGTGCCATGCTCTAGGGCTCTCTTTGATATGCTGCTAGATTTGTTGCCACAGGCAGTTGCCCAGGGTCCATAGAGTTTAACATTTTACAATCTGGGCCTAGAAGTTGTAATCGGAGACATCATGTACCTCTTTGTGGTTTGTCATTATCCAAATCCAGCTTGTTCTGGTTTGTTTTTACTTTGTGGGTGGTTGGAGGGTACTGCTGGTTGGTTGTTTTGGGCTGGGGTTTTTTTAGGGGGGAGTTCCTTTATTGGTCTTATCTATCTGACTTGCATTTTCCCAGTACTATATGACTTTAATGGTGGAGATGTACTTCTCTTTACTCAAACAAACATATTTACTTATAAATTTTCAAAGTCTCACATCTTGTTGTGGTTTTTGTCTCTTCTCACAGAGCTCTGAGAGGATTGGAATTCCTTATCCAGTGCAGATGTTTTATTTGAAGTTGTATCTGGATTTGAAGCAAGGTAAGCATTTATTTCAACCGACGGAAAAGTGGACAAAGCATTCTTATATTCAAAGGGATAGTTGTTGGCTGTCACTGGTAGGTCCTTCCTACTTCTTTTCTTTTCCTCTGTTGTTACCTTATGTCTGTTTTGTTTTTTTCCACGCCCTGAATGATCGAACAAAACTACATATTCATGTACAGAAATTGCCTTAAAATTCATGATATATGGGGGCCAGAGAATATTATACAGAAATTTACTTACCTCTTGCTGATGTTTTGTTACATATGTAATGTTGACAGCATGTTAATATAACCATGATACATAGTATGTGAGTTGGTCTGTTGAAATCAGGAATGTCGCCTCTTGCCATTTTGAGATTGTGTGTTTTTTCGAAAGAAGGGGTCTTCCTGATTAATATGCACTTTAAATTTTTCACTTATCTTTTCTAGAAGATGAGATATTGCATTTTGAAGTAACAAAATGTGAAAAAAGTAAAAACTGAAAAAAACGCATTTAAAGTTACCATTATTGCTTTTTATATAGTATCTGAAAGCAAATGGAATAATTGAGAAAAGTGTTTTTTTACAAGAATCAGCTCTTGAATTATTTTATAAAATAGTTGTGAATCCCCAGGTATGTATAACTCAGAATCGACCAAAATTGACCACTTCGACTCTTTTTGCCGATTTCTTGCTTCCTGGGTTAGCGACATATTCCTGGTTTCCTCAGACTGGCATACGTATGTGCAGCAACACAACGAAATGAATTGCTCGAAGCCCTGAGCTGCTTTGAGATAGCAGGAAAATCTTTAATCTTCTCTGAACAGTGTATTTGTGACTCCCCAACTTTGAGTGATTATAATAACTTTAGAACGAAAGCAGCAAGACAGCTACAGTTTTTAACCTCCTTGTAGAGCCTCAAACAGATTTTTAATTCAATACCCAAAGCGTTATTTTGTCAATATGGGACTTGTAACTCATTTTGTCATGCTGCTGCACGTATATATATGATATATAGAAGGTTATCTCTGTTTGACCTACCTTTTGAGGGCAGATGGTAGACAATAGAGTTACTCATTTTTGTTGTTGCGATATGTGTCACGACGTGGTAGAATCAGGCACTCATCATTTTTGGGAACATTGAGTTAATGGTATAATCCACAAGGTTGTTCAACTTGCCTTTGATGAAAGAAATACCCTTCTATCTTGATTGAAGAAGGTTGGGTGGCCTGCTGTCAGATATAAAATTAACGAGATATTGGCCAACTAAATTTGGTGACTTCCAAAGCTTGAGTGTCCTTAGAAATTGCAAATTTACATTTTTGTACCATTCATCAATGTTTTCCGCTAAATTCCGCCCGGAAATGTGTTTTTAAATTGATGTAAAAGATGTTGAGCCAAATTAAGAAAAATTTGATAAAAATTGCCCTGCAGGCGGAAAACTTTGGTTTCATCGATTTAATTATTTTGACGAGTGCCAGATTTCATCACGATGCCTCACATATGGGTAATGTTTATGTGTTTGATGTCTATGTTCAAATGGAAGCTTAAGTCATGTGTTTTGCAGCGGGTTGATGGATACTGCAAGTCCATCTGCTAGTCTGCTCATCTTGTATCTTTTCAGTATTACTCTTGACTCTTGGCAAAATCTTTTTACAGGGAAATACTAATGTTACAATTTTAAATAATAATAATAAATATCACTTTTATAACACCCACTCCCTGGTTGCTTTAGGCGCTTCAAAATAAAAAAGAATTTCAATAATTTACATAATCCCACAGGTTCACTGTGAACTAAAAACTCTGGGATGTGTGTTTGAGTAACCGTTTGATTGAAAGTGTATTTTTCTGTTTGTCCGTGTATATATAATGCATTTTTCACAGGGACCTGTTAGTCTTTGACCTTTGCTTTTTCTCCTGATCACTATTTTGTTTGCTTTTCTTTCTGCAGGTAACAAGAAAGGAGCCATCAGTCTTATCAACGAGCATTTCGGCTACAATTCAAGAACGTGATTTGTGATCCTTCACGCCTATTTCCCTACCCTCTGTTCTTAATCCCCACTAACATAAAACTTTTTTGCACTGGCACACACACACGCACTCCTACTGACTTTGTTGGCTTTATGCAATTCTATTATTTTTGGCTGGTCTTTTATCAGTGAAAGAGGGAAAATACATTGAGAGGAAAATCTTTTACTGGTTTATAATTTACCATCATTTTACAGTCTTGATTACTTTATCGTTTCGAATCTGGAAATAATAATACTTTTTTTTTACCTAGGTCCTGGAGTTGGAGCCATAATTTCGCACTTAGTTTTTATTTTTTTAAGAGAAGGATATGATTTGCATGTTTTGCACTTGAAAGAACTGTGGACTGTTGAAAGTTGGAAGAGAGTAGGGAACCCTGTTTGGGCTCCTGGGGCAAGCTTGTAAATTTATATCGGCTTTGAATAGGAAAAAACTATTATACTTTCGGAAAGGATTTACAGCTGAAAAGCATCAGGAAAAAATTAGCCATGTATGATAGTATCAACTGCTCTTACTTCAAGTTGAAGTATCGGCAATCGGCTCCCCCTGACACTCAATGGAGGAATGCAGAAGATTGCGAATCTAGGGACAATTTTTTTACCTGAAAGTGAGCAAAACTTGAATGAAGTGATTGTCTCTCTCTCTGATTGCCTTTGTATAATGTCAGTACCAGTTGTGTGACGTGTGTGCATGTGTCCAAATCAAATACTGAACTGTATACATCATCTTGCGTGAATGAAATGTCCATATTATGCTAGCAATTAAATATTCAAACCTTGTGTACATTTTTGCTTTTGAGTTGGTTGTATCACGACTTGATCTGTTTGTTGGAAACCTTGCTAACAACAGTCACTTCTTCCCAGCCCTTTACTAAGGTCTGGAAGGGGGGCCAAGAGGTTGAGGTATTTTGTCTCTCATTCCATAGGTCTCGGGGTCGAATCCGGATAGCAATGGAAAGTATTCTTCTAAAGTTTCCTCCTTTCACATCCTTTCCTGCTGTCTAACAATGTTCTGTCGTCTGCTTTTGTCATAATTTTCTGCCCCCACTGCCTCATCTCCTTTGCCCTCTCCTCTAGGCTCCTGACTCTTTCTGCAGCCTTTCTACTGCTACTCTTTGGTTCCTTCTTACTGCTGTCTTTCAGCCTCACCCTTGATCTTATGATAGGTGAGATCTACACCTAGCTTTCTCAGATAAAGGTGAAAAATCCCGGAGGTCCTGTGTTGCACACGTTAAAGATCCCTTGGTGATCCAAAATCGATTAGAGTAGGGTTCAGCCGTCGCCCAGGCATAATTCAAAGTTTTTTATCTACTGAAAATGTTTAATGTGTCCCGTGCTCATATAACCTTGTGCAGTTGCGAGCGCTGTAAAACATTTTGACTAAAAATGTCAATAAGGTTTGGGGTCCCGTATCTGTGATGCAAATGCTAGGCTCATAACTGAAGGCGTGCATTTGATTCACAGAGTTGAAGCTGCCAGCCTCATTTAATGATCTCAGTTGTGCCAATTTGGCCATAAAACACTATTATAATAATGTGTGGAAGGTCAGAAATGAAAATTGTTAGCTCAGCTGAGTTATTCTCTTGATTACATAATTTAAAAGTGATGAATTTAAATAGTACTACCATTTCCCGCCATAATAAATGGCTTGCTATTTTAAGAATATTTTAAGTACAATTTTGCCCTGTCTTTAGGCCATTCCCAAAGGGGGGGGGGGGGGGGCATTTCTCGTTCAAGCATAGTAGAATTGTAAATGGGCTGACTCATGTCACGCTCATAACTGTGCCTGATCTACAACAGGGAACTGCTGCTTTTTCTTTCCTGATCCTTACTATTGTCATTCTCCTCTACTTCTTTTGTATGTTTGTCACTCTCTTGTGCCCTGCTATTTTGGGGTGCCTTGATAGTCGAAGCAGACCTTGTGCTGTTGAAGCTAGAGAGGTGGACAGTCTAAGTCTGATTCCCTGTAAAGACTTCTCTGTTGACACCCACCCCTTGGCGCTCATATGACCTTATGCAGTTGCGAGCGCCGTAAAACCCTCTACTATAAAAAAAAACCCAACAATTTTGCCGTCACTGGGCCATGTAGAAACTTAGAACCCAAAGACAAGCAGGAGATAAAAATTCAGTGTAAGCATGCATGTAAGCCCAAGTGTATGTATTTTTAAAAAAATTTATTTTCACTTCTGTTATTATGATACAAGTACAATGCACACATAGGAAATTTCAATATCAAAGGTATTCCCACAGTCAGTTTCCATCTTAAATAGAGTATGATGAAGAGTCTGGAGTTCAAGTCCTTACAAATTCATGTGGTACAGCAGTAGCTTGTTAGGTTAGTTGGTGAGACATTTTAATACAAATAGGCTACAAATAGGATGTATACATGATTCCTTTCACTTGGTGAGGATTTTCTTTAAAATTGTTATGGCTTTTGATTTTTTCACACCTTTATTTAAGTTGAAGTTCATACCTCTGGAATTGGAATTGTTTGATATTTTTTTCTAAAGCTTTGTAAAATTCAAGATAAAAGAGCAAACTTATGAATACGGTACACAAGCTGTATACTGTTCAAGTTTTTTTAGAAGGCGGGAGGTATTTCAACGTTTTGAAGCCAAATAAAAAAAACATTTTGCATAGGGAACGCTGGAGAAATTCTTAAGATCGTTTCGCTTCGAAAGCTTAACTGCTATTTGTATGTACATGTACCTCTTTTCTCCCTGCACATTAAAATTTCTTTAGACGTGTATTTATAATATGTGATGTTTAGTAGTACATAGACTTGGACTACAAATAACGATTACTGCTAGTCGATGGATGGAGATGTGAGAAGTAAACTGGCTCGCTGTATAAATTCACTTTACAAAGGCAAGAGTTTCATTCACAAAAAGAAAAAAAAAGTCACCTCAAGTTTGGGTCCGTGGTGTAAGCTGTGCAAACATACGATCAATTTGAAAATTCATCCATACACAGAAACTCCCCCCCCCCCATACACACAAACCCCCCCCCCCCCCCCCCTCTCTCTCTCTCTCTCTCTCTCTCTCTCTCTCTCTCTCTCTCTCTCTCTCTCTCTCTCTCTCTCTCTCTCTCTCTCTCTCCGCATAATAATAGATATAATAATAATAATATCTGTGGCCATCCTTGATCGACGATTTTGTCGAATAGACGGTTTTGTTTTATACATTATACAGGGAGTTCAATACATCCCTAAGCCAAGCATGACGCGCAACACCAACGGTAAAAGTAAAGCATGATATTGTGTACATTTTTACAAGTTACAAGTGTTGATAAAGATCACAGCTTCTTCAAGAATCAAATAACATCCTCCTCTGTCGCTTTGCGTACACTGTGATTCAGGGACTTGTCAAAGCAAAATAATATGATAAATCAGATAAAGTAGTGTGTCTTGAGTGAGAAGGTGAAAATAGGGTTGAGTCTTGCGCCCAATCTTAAAGCTGCTGGGGACATTTTGGTTTCTGTTGTCGATTTTCTTTGCACAACAGTTTTTAGTAACCCTCCGGATAGGTTAATTTGGCCATATATCCATGCGTCGGTATTGTTGGTGGGGTAGGGTTCCTTCATTTTGACTGTCACGTATTTGACTATGGCGATGGACACTTCGTTGTAGCTCTGTGAAATGTCAGAAACTCTTGAGTATTAGTATTAACATCACGACGCCATTTATTTTAAAAACTTACATTACAAGAATAATGTTCCCGAAGCTCAAAAATACATCTTGATGAGAAAAAAAAATGTTCGCCTTACTACACTCCCTCAGGGCAGAGGGTAATTTAAGTTTGAGTGTTTTGAGGCTTTATTAGTTTTTGGTTTTATTTTAATTGTATAATATATATCTAGACGTTTCATGCCTCTACCGACACAATTCAGATCATTTATGATTTAGGGGTCGTTCTACCTCGACACTGCTGTGTGGTTGATTATGATGCCAATGATAAGTTAACCAATACACCAGTTGCAGTTATCAGAGCATGAAAAGCGTCGGTGGTGTTGGAAAAAGTCTTTAGACATCAACACGCCAGATTTTCAGAACCCTACGAGTCTGCCGAGGCCTCTAACGAAAACAGAATGTTTTCAGACCATGGTCCGATCCTTCGTTCCTCTCGCCCTCCAGATTCCACGATCCCCACTGGACGGATCCTCATATGGACAACCGTGGTGGAACTGGACTGGGTGATCTTCACACGCCCGAACAGCGCCTTCCCATCCACGAAGTAGATTCTAAAGAGCGGCAGACGATTGTCCGCCAAATTCACCCACTCGCCGCCATTTCCTTCTTTTAGCTGGATCTGATAGACGATTGAGTTGAACTTGTCGGCGTTCTCGGGCTTACTCCAGTGTAGTTCTGTCTGTGTCTGCGTCTCTGCCCACAGGTTGAACAGATTTTTCTCCGGGATCACAGCTAGGGGGAGGTTGGGGTCAATGTTCTGGTTGTTTGTGCTGCCCGGTTGGCGGGGTGCCTGTTCTCTGCCAACATCGGGCAGTCTGGGGGGGATAGAAAACGTTTGTAAGTTTAAGTACATGTCGTGTTTTACTCCCCCCCCCCTCTTTGACACAATTTAGGAGGCAGGCTACTTCGACCCTGCAAGTTTCAGAAAGATTCGTGCCAGAAAGGGGGTAAAAGAGTTCATGACATTTTTATTTATTCATATTATATTACTGCAGTTATTCATAAGTCTACACTACGTGGAAACGAAGGGGAAAACAGCATCAACAACAACATCAACTATAATAACAACGACAACATCAAAAACGACATCAACAACAATAAACAGCAACTCCACCCACCCCCACCCTGTTTCCCCACGACGCTATCGCTCACCTGCTGACAATCTGCACATCCAGCTGAGGCAGTCTGTCCGTTGGAAAGGTGAGCGAGTCCAGTCTGATAGGCGGCGGTGGGTGGTCTCTGGGGGTGACGGGGTTTTCCTTCAGGTCACCCCGCTCGTCCACTGGCTCGGCTCTTAGCTTCATTGTTTGAGAGTAAGACATGGCTCACAGTCACACGGACACACTGAAGCTGTCACAGGTTCGCTAAAACTGCTCACACAGACACACTAGAGCATCCGGCTTGTCGTAGTTTGTCCTCTCGATTTTCTGCACAGCACAGTCTGCACAAAAGAGAAGTTTAGTTTTGTTTTAGTAGAGGTTTTACGGCGTTCGCAACTGAATAAGGTCATATGAGCGCCAAGGGGCGGATGTCAACAGAGAAATCCTTACACTTACAAGGAATCAGACTTACTCTGCTCACCTCTCTAGCTTCAACAGTACAAAGTCTGCCTCGACTATTAAGGCACCCCGGTAATAGAGGGTCACAAGAGTGTGCTATACAAAAGAAGTAAAGGAGATGGCGATAGTAAGGATTAAGAAAGAAAAAGCAGCAGTCCAGGCACAAGTATGAGCATGACATTGATGAATCAGCCCATTTATAATTCTATGTGCATAAGAACAGGTTAATGTCCCCCCTTTAGGAATGGCCTAGAAACAATTCAGTTAGTAGCACTTCCCCCCGGGGGGTGGGGGGGGGGGTGGAAGTTTAGTTTGCAACACAAACAGGTTATATAAGTGTCTAAGATTAAAGATGAACCGAGAGAGTAACGTATAAAGAAAAACAATGCAGAGATAAGGTTAATGGTTGATAGGAAAAAATGAGCAAACAACACCAGAGCACCCACCAACCACCCACATGTTTGTGCACCTGATACGGAGTAAAGAGAAGCACATCACAACACCGGCCATTTCATGCACGAAAGAGTAAGACAGACAAAAAGAAACAACCGAAAAAGGTGCAAAACAACAGAAAGAAAAAAAGAAGAACCTAAGAGTAACGCTTTCCATGTACCCACAATGTGCATAATTATCATTGTACTTGATAAGGGTACATTGAGATATTAATTGTAGATTTAATGGTTTGCAAGGGACTACTACTACTACCACTACTACTACTACTACTACTACTGCTACTACTACTACTACTACTACTACTACTACTACTACTACTACTACTACTACT